GTTTAATCCAAATTAAAAACCTACTGGAAAGCAGTTGATCAGACTATATCTGAGATTGTCGGAGTAAGTATATATGTGTACTGGGTATATATCTTTATTGTTAGCTCCTGCAGGCTGGGAGGATGATAGCTTTATCTTGGAGAAAAATGGATGTACCCTCGATACATGTGCGGATAAAGGAGGTGGTGTCCTGTATTGTATTGGAGAAACTGACTTACACAACCAGAGGAAAGAGAATCTGAAACCATTAATGGAGTTTCTTAGACTTCAAGGTGCTCATTCATTTAGAAATTGCTGAGTGGTTCTATGTTGTTGTCATTTTATTGTTTTTTTTTATGTCTTACTATTATTATACGTTATTGAATTATTATCACTGTCTATTTGTATGTGAGAAATATAGGAAAAATTCAATAAAAATTCTGTTTAAAATCCTTAAATGCAGATCCAAATCTCTTTCATAAGTTTGAGATCAGGTGACAAGGTGAGACACTTCCCTCCTTTAGCACATTAGAGTGAAAACAAAAAGCAAACGTAATGTCTGAGTGGAGGGGGGGCTATCTTTAAGGTTAATCCTGATGGCCTAACTGACACAAACCTCTCTGCAGAAGCTGACGATGTTCTCCCACAGCTCTTTGGCCTCTCCTTCGTCGCTCTGCCGCAGCGCCTCCACCAGCATGCTCTCCTTCCTCTTCGGGGACGCATCAGGTTTGAGCTGCATCCCGTGTTGCTGAGGAGTGTGGCAGGCCAGGCAGTGTTTGGCTTTGACCCTGTTAATGAGAGTGCACGCCGGACATGCCCACTCTTCTGACCCGGGAACCAGCACGCCTGCTGGGAATGACCCCGAGGCGTCTGGTGCGGGGGACAGCGGAGACATCTCCTCCTTGAGGATGCTGAGACGCCTGCCGGGCAGTAGCTCGGGTTGGGCAGAGAGATGTGACACGGCGAGCGTCGACGGAGAGGGACTTAAGTTGTGTGTTTGGCTGAGGCAGACATCTGGAGGGGGCACCTCTCTGCGACTGCAGGGAAGAGGATTATTGTGAGCCGAAGACGCCGCACCGAGCATCGAGGAGCTCGTGTGTGGATATGAAGCTTCCACCGGTAAACACTCTCCTCGTGTGGATATGGAAAGTGAAAGCGCTCCCGCTGCAGGATCTGGTTGTTGCTGTACTCCTGTTTGATCGCACACTTCAGGCACGAGCAGGGCGTCGGCAGGGATTTGGGGCAGAGACAGTTTGCGTGGTCCGCCACAAGCGGAGCAAGACATGGAGGTAGGGGTGTTCTGCAGAGTGCACCTTAAACAATCCCAGGTCAGGCTGTTTTTATCTGCGTCTTCCGGCTGTTTTTTGTCTTGCGATGACGATGGCGGCCTCAGGGGGCCGGAGCAGCTGCTGGAGCGCTGGGGCCGGGGCTGGTCTTCCGATGACCCCTGCGGTCGGTCCATCGGTCCGATGTAGCCGCACAGAGAGCAGGCCAGACTGTCGCGAGAGTTGGCCAGCGTGCAGCGTGGGCAGGACCAGCCACCGTCCTCCCTGCTGGTCCCGTGCCACATCCAGCGTGTGTCGGATCTCCGCCGGGGGGCCTCACAGATGGAGCAGCGGGGGGCACCGGCTGCGTTGAGGAAGGTACAACAGCCACAGGCCCACTGGCTCCTCTGCATGGGCATCGAACCAGAAGAGAAACTGGGGAGGAAACACAAGAATCAGTTCAGATTACGAGAAGTACTGTATGTTCAGTATCAGCCGATTACTGACAACCTAAATAAAGAGAAGAAATCAAGAGCTAAACATTAGTGATTTGTTGTATTATTGCTGAGTTTTGGATAACATATGTGCCGATACTGATACGATGTTGATAAATCTGCAATATAGCGGCTCTAATAATCCACCACAGACATCTGCTAACAGCGAGTGTAATGTGAAACACATCCAAACAGTCTTCAGCTGAACTCTGCTTTTATATAACTGTAAACTCCCACAGGGAGAAAGGGAAGAAAAAGCTGGGAAGATGAGGGGGAAATGGGTGCATTAGCAGTTTTTCTACACCCTGTGGTGGCTGGGAGGAGAACATTAAAATGCATGAATATGGAAATGACACAAGAAGCTGCAGTACAGAAAGAGCATAAAGTGTTCTTCAACTGGTGCCTGAGAAGCTGATAGATTATTCAATATTTATGATTTATTATTATCAGTTAACAGTGTGTGCAGAGTGTTCAGTCTGAATTTGGTACAAAAACACAGTTTCACATCTGAGATTCGTGTTCCTCGCCGTGCTCTGAGGCCGCGGCTGTAAAGCAGACCCAGATTATCTGCGCGGTGGCATCCAGCGGGAAATTTTAGACCGGAGGAGCCGGTGGGACGTCTGTGTGGAGGCTGGCCCACATTTTCTAGAGCTCTAAGTAGCTTTGGCATCGGGCCGGAAACTTCCAGCACAGGACAGGTTACTGCAGGACAAACGGAGATACAGGTGTTTCTGAGGCCGAGAGCTCGGTGGTAATTAATGAGGCAGAAATATTTCACTGCTGTACGACCTTCATCACTTCTTGAAGACATCCCTTCAAAGTCCGAGACTGTGGGCCTCCCTTCAGACAAAGATTGGACTTGAAATAAGTTTTATTTTTATCATTTTAATATGTTTCATCTGTTAATTTAAATCTTATTTTATTGTTGGGTGTTTTATTATATTTTATTCTCTGTGCTTTTTATTTGCCAGATTTTATTTAGTTGTCGTGTTGATTGTTTTATTCTTGATTTTTGATGTTTTAAAAGGTTCTGAATTAGTTATTATTATTATTATTCACTATAAAGAGATATGTAAGTTTACAGATCTTGTTTACAGATTTTCTGTGTATTTTTTAAATACATGGAAATAATAAAATAATTAAAATACAGTTTTTAGCTTTAATTTTACATAAAATCTTGCATCATTTTTTGTCTTTTTAGTGTAATTAAAGGGTTTTTACACTGTAAAACAATTAAATGACCTATAAATACAGGCGAACTCTGCTATAATACAATCAGCCTTAAATTTACAGCAGAGTGCTGTTATTATTTGATTTTTATTATTTTAATCAGAATTTTAAAAGTTATAGAACTGTCATTATCTGTGAAACTGATAAACAACATTTATTCAACGTTTTTGTTGTGAAAACATAATTTTAGAAATGTATTAACAGTATTAAACTTGACTTTAACGGTTTAATCTATTAAATAAACATCTTATGTGTATTTTTTTCTTTAAATAATCAGTAATTTTATGATAATTTACATTAGACATGTAAATTCATAGGCTATTAAAAATGCCCTGTAAATGTACAGATGTTTTTTTTACAGTGTAAGCTTTATAAAATCCATGTTTTTATCACTTTTTGGTCGTTATGCATCGGATAAAAACCTGCAGTGATCTGTGGACCCTGACTCCCTCTAGAAAGCTTGCGTGTGTGTTTCCAGACTACCGTCTACGGTTCAATCTTTAGGGATTTCCCCGGTAGCGTTACACTTCCAGTCAGAGAGTAACCCGACTCCTGCTAGGACCGAGTCAGAAGGCGGCTGGGACAATGTGGCAGCAGAGGAGACTTACACCAAACAGAATAGACTGCATTAGACAGAGATACAGTAATTATTAATAAGTGGAGATTTGTAGAATAGGCTGGGATTTATATCGACCAATTCATGAAAAATTCATGACCACACATACTTGAGCCTCGGACGTCCACGCTACTGTATATTATAAATTAAGCAGCGGTCACATTTATGGTGCAATGTGTTGTGTAATAACATTAATAAATCATCTGTACAGGTAGCATTAACAAACAAACAAGACTGTCTCAGAGACTGACTGAACTCAACTCAGGACGATGGCTCTGGGTGTTTATGGAGTTATTTGGATAAACTTATTTATTTATTATATATTTCTTCCTAAGTTACCCCCCTTTTTGCTCTGTGCTTCAATAACAGTTGAGCAAACCTCAGTCAACTTCCTCCTTTCCTGTACTTAGATATGCTATGTGCTAGGCTAATCTGTTGCAAAGACATCCACATTTTGCAGATGGTTTTAAGAGATAAGAGACATATTTCACACCTAGTTACTGTTAGTAAAATGCTAACTAAGTAGCTAATTAACAATTTATATAAATCTTTCGCTAACATTAGCTTTTACGAGAATAAAGTCATAACATTGCGAGAATAAAGTCGTAATATTACGAGAATAAAGTCGTAATATTACGAGAATAAAGTCGTAACATTACGAGAATAAAGTCGGAATATTACGAGAATAAAGTCGGAATATTACGAGAATAAAGTCGGAATATTCGGTCTATGAGAATAAAGTCGTAACATTACGAGAATAAAGTCGTAACATTACGAGCATAAAGTCATAATACGAGAAAAATTACTTTATGACTTTATTCTTCTAATATTACGACTTTATTCTCGTAATTTCCAAAATTTTATTTATTTATTTTTCCTCTTAGTATGGCCCTAATACTCCGTCGGAAGCTAACATTTTGCTGACATCAGTTAACTGTGATAGGACTCAACTGTTATTGGAGCACAGAACAGAAAGTAGACGGGACTTAGGGAGGATTTGGAGGAGGAGCTCAGGATTGTATCTCTGCTTCCTGCTGATTATGTCGTTCCAGCGGCTGAAATGGACAATAACCTCCAGGGTGCCGGTTTGTCCTGTGCGTAGAAGCTAGGATGAGTGTTTGCGGCCTCCAAGAAAACCTCTAGAAATGACGGTGAACGATGGCTGGGAGCAGGTTTCTGTCCCAAATGAAGGAGCTGAAGTATCTCAGGGTCTTGTTTATGAGATGCGGCGAGAGATAAACAGGCCAATTAGTGTTGGCAGTGAAGAGAGAGCTGAGCCTGAAGGGAAAAGCTCTGAATTTAAACAGAAACTCAGCTCCAGTGCAGGAAGATAAGTCCTGATTATGTGCACACAAAGTTTTTAAAAACCAAAAGATTTTCCAGAAACGTTTTAAAACTTATATGAAATATGACTGTGTGTGTGTTTAGAGGAATATAAAGTCAACGGGAAAACTAAATTAGATGTAAAGATGCATCTGTGTGAGACAGCGCCTCAGAGGAAAAAGGAGAGTGACAGGATTTTTTAAGAAATCATTTTCCAGGAGTTTTTCTTGACAATACAGGACTTTAAAATGCGGTTTTGGGGAAATTGACTTAATTAATTTGGCCACAGACCATCAGCAACAGTTCAAATCAATTAGAATTGAATTTATTTTACATGAGGGGCTAAAATATAATTTAATTTTCAAGGTCAACATAGATGATTTCCAAGATATTTAGTCATTTTAATCAATTTCCAGGTTTTAAGGAGTATCTTTACTAACATCAGAAAATATATTTAGATGTTTTTCCAGTCCGAATGATGTAGTTTCCTAAGTGTGATCCACCAGACCCTTCAACACGATAGCTGCTAGTCTGGTGTCAATATCTGGTACAACAGGGACCAAATCTTATAGAAAATATGTTTTAATTTTAATGAAATATAATATAGCTTCAGGAAAAACTCCATCACACTGCAAAGGTCACACACAGGAGATCGTTTAAGCTCCATCTGGTAACATCAGTGATGAGATCAGATTAAACTCAGCAGGTGAGTAACTGATTGAACTGATTGATCACTTAGTAATAATTAATGAGAGCAGCACATCTGATCCGATCCATCCTCTACAGATCTTGTTCTTCACGTGTTTGTTTGCTGCAGACTCCAGCAGATGTCACATCATCATGATTTTAATCTTTTTTGTCTGTCAAGATGAAAATTCTGATTCAAAAATGATAATTTCCTCTAGTTTTAAATCACATACAATCATAATATCTCCTAAAATACCATCATGGTGTGTTAAACTGCAGTTCTTTGACTCCGCTGGTACTGCCCACTGTCGGCGAGCCCGTCTCTTACCTGCGCTCTCTGTGCCGGCCGGGTCGGGGAAGCTGCCGGGGGATGGAGGTGCTCTGGCTGCTCCTCAGACATCCCATGATGGGGGACGGAGGCAGTGCAGCACCTCGGGGTGCGTCGCCCTCGGCCTCCTCAACAAGGGAGGAGGTGGAGCCTCCCATGATGCAGCTGGCTCAGGCAGAAGGGACCTGAACGAGGAGGAAAATACTGAAACTGATTGACCATTTTTTGACTCTTTTGATAACTGATTCATTGTTTTAGTCATTTTCCAATTCTAGGACACGTTTTAATTAGAGCAGGTAGACGTTACTCCTTATAAAATCACCTCGGGCTCTGAGAAATGATTATTTTCTGACATTTTCAGCCAATGCTGATCAAATATGGATCCAGATACTGTTACTGTGTTGACTATATAAATCTTTCTACAAACATATCTTAGTTTATCTGGAATACCAGATCGTGTGTGAGCAGGCGAGCTGCCATTGTGTCCTGATACATACGAGTTGAAACTGAAAAAAAGAAAACAAAAAGATTTATTTCGGGGAAATTAGTCTAATTTTTAGTCAAAATAATCTTGTTAAGCATGTTTTGCTTTAGAAAAGTAATCTGGTTTTAAGAAAACATATCTAACTTTGTCTTAATAAGATCTTACAGCTAATATTGAGTTCAATTTAACCAGTAACAACAATAGTTGCATAATATCCCAGCAGAGGAACCAGATTATTGTTCTTATATTAAGAGTAAGAGCACTCGAACTACTTCTCAGTTTAAGAGAAAGTCGTCTGGTCCCAGTGTTGGAAATGAAGCAGCTGTTTAGTTTTTTATTGTTTTAATAAAATTAAAAAAATAAGAATGTTTCTGGAGCCTTTATTTAAGACAAAGTCACAGATTTTTAGTATGCTGTCGTCTGTATTTATAGGGAATTTCATTGTTTTTACATGTGTAAATATCTTTAATTAAACATTAAAAAGCCAAATAAAAGAAGATTTTAAGTCAAATTAAAGCTAAAAACTGTACAAGTCAGTTATTTTCTGTTCTTTTACAGTATTCTTTGGGGGGCTCCAGCTGCTGGATTATTACCAGTTATTTCTTTTACAATTATTTTCTACATTACACTCCAGGATTCATTTAGGTAACAGTAAATCATCAGCATGCAGTAAGAAGACATTCTGATGCACCAACTGGAAGACCCTTAATATGAAGACTTCTTATCACAGATGTCATATTGCTTGTCTCGGTATGTGGCTGCTTCAGCTCCCTCCCGGCTCGCTCCACTCCAGCTGTGTCCTTGAACAAGGACTTAAAGTCTGTCTGATAACATCAGGAGCTCGGATACAGACGCTGATCAGAAGACACATTACCAGAAAATCTACTACTTGTATCCTTATAAAATCTAAATTATACTTCAAAGCGTTCGTCTCCCTCTCTGTCTGGGTTGTGTGGGTGTCTCTGAATGATAAAATAACATTATAAATCCACATTTCAAGAACTAAAACTGACTCTCTGTGTGGTTTGCATGCGAGTGAATTTCTCTGTACCTCAATGCAGATGCATCCCTGCTGATGCTGAAGTTCACATAGACTTCAGGTATCCTGGTGCACCTGCAGTACAGCCGGTGGCTGGCTGAGAGACTGCAGAGTGAGGGAGAGAGAGAGAGAGAGAGAGAGAGAGGACGCTAAAGACACAGCAGTGCCGTGAACATCTGGACTCACCCGACTGCAGAGCGGACGCGTCGCGCACGAAGAGGATGGACGTTCCTGCCAGCTGTCTGAGACCTCCATGCATCCTCTTTCACTGAAGCCCCGATGTGCACAGTCACCACCACATTCTCCTCTCACCACCGCCGACAAGCCACAGGGAAGAAATGACACTTCCTGTCACAGAATTCAAAATAAAACTCCCACTGGACATTGTCAAGTAACTTCCAAAACCAAAAAAATCAACAAAGAATACAAGATTAAATCACAAACTGCATGACTGTGTGCTGAAATAATGACAAAACCTGACAAAACCTGACAAAAATTCAAACATTTTCACTTTCCTTTGCAGAATAACAACTAAATGAATCTTTAGCGTCATATTTCAAACCTGTTTAATTAAGTATCTTTATTAATTAGGCCATTGAAAGAAACTTTATCAGCATCTTTTCAAGAGAACGTAGTTTTTAGTCATTTTTTAAGCAAAAATATAAAATATTTTCACTTTCAGCTTCTCAAGTGTGAGGATTTGCAGCTTTTCTTTGTCGTAAATGACAGTAAATTAAATATATTTTAGTTTTGGACAGCTGGTTGGATAAAACAAGCAGACTGAAGCCATCACCGTGGCATCTGAGAAATTCAAAATGTAATTTTTCACTGTTTTTTTTTTTAAATTTCATAGACTAAACAATAAAATAATCTGGATATTAATTCAAAGCTAAATTAATCTTTAGTGGCTGCCTTAAAGCAGATATAGTGTCATATTTCAAAACCTGTTTAATCTGTTTTTTATTAAGAAAGAAATTCAATAAATAAATCAAACTTTAGACCCACTTTGTGTACAAACAAGGGTTTCAAAATAAAATAAAGGAAGATGTAGTTTTAGCTCGTTGGACCCAAAGTTGTTGGACTTCTCAGGAGTTACAGGTAATGTAGTTCAAATGACTCTGGCTGCAACTAATAGTTACTCATAGATAATTAGTTTTTTTTATTTTAAGTAAAGTAAGAGCCCAAAACGTCTTATTCCAGTTGCGACAGTCCAAAATCCAAAAATATTAACTTCAAATCAAATCCTCTAACAAGAGGGGGGAACTCATTTTATTTTACCATCATCATTATCATTATTTATTTATTTATCAATTTGTATTTTAGATAGTTCTTAATTCTAGTTATTCATTTTATTTTACCCCCATCATCGTTTTTATTTTATTTTATTAATTAGTTTTTTATTTGTTATCTAAAAAAAACAAGCAAAACTGATTTAAATGTCTCTTAACTAACTTTGAGCACTAATCATCACTCCCATCAGAGAGGCAGTAATTTGTGTGTTTGTTTTTTTTGCTCATATCAGCAAACAAATCAATTTAATTCCACTTAAATTGATTGAAATAAACTCTTAACCTCTTAATACTTTAACCAAACTGTTTAAAAGTAGACTGGGTTTGTTATGAC